ACTATTAAGTAGCAAAGAATCCTAGTAAAATTATGGAGTCCAACTATTTTTAATTTCTTAAAATATTTTATCTGTCATTGTTATTTTATGTGTATGAGTGTTTTGCCTGTCTATATGTAAGTACACCTGTGGGTGCAATGCCTGTGGAGGTCAGAAGAGGGCATCATATCCTCTGGAACTGGAGTTATAGATAGTTGTTAGCTGCCATGGAGTGCTGGGAACCAAACTTGGGTCCTCTGCAAGAGCAGCTAATGCTCTTAGCTGCTGAGCCACACCTCTCCAGTCCTGATTCCAACTATTTTAAGCATTATAATGCTTCCAGGACACTTTTGAACATTTTAACTGATGGTATTTTTTTAAATAAAATCACCAGGGAAAAAAATCTTACTCTTAATACCTAGAAAGGATCTTCTCCTAAGTATCTTGATCACAATTTTTAAGTAGTCAATTACAATTCTCTATAAACTTCTCAATATTAACTAAATTTTTGGGAAGAATTAGAAATTCTTGGAAAATGAAGACAATGTTCTATCACCAGGGGTTGGTATCATTTGTTGAATGAATGAATGAAGTATTTTAACTCGTTTAACTCTCACTGATAGTCTACACTAAATTGTAGCTCAACAGTAGAGCACTTACCTAGCATGTGCAAGGCTCTGGAATTGATCCCTTACACCACAAAAAATTAAAACATTTGAAAAGAATATATATTCTTTTGCTTCTAAGGAACATATTTTTAGCTTGTGATTGTTTCTTCAAGCAGGCCTGTTGTCTCCACCACCACCTGTCTGATCCCCCCATAGTACTGAGATCACAGACACACTTAGCAACCCTCACTTTTTATACGGGTGCTAGGGATTTGAACCCAGGTCCTTTTGGTTGCATAGTAAGTGCTTTCACCCCCTGAGCCATCTCTTTAGTCTTGTTTTTATCTATATTAAAAGCCACAAATCTATCAGCAATTGATAGCTGCTAGGAAAGGGAGAATCAGTTTTCTTAAGGGTGTGATGCCAGGTGGACTGACCAGGCTCCAGGGCATGGATGCACACCTGGGAGCATTTGGAGAACACAAATTAGAATCAAAAGATCTCTGAAAAGAATAGAGGAGATGACATGAGGGGTCATGGGGGTGAGGGTGGGATATGGGGAAGGGATTCTGAAGGAATATAATCAAGCTACATTGTATAAAGTTCTCAAAGAATGAGTAAAATATTATTTTTAAAAAGAATCTCAAAAGCCACAAATCTAAGCCTATTCAGTTTGTAGTACTCTGTAGTACCAATTTCAATGGAGATTTTAGAAAAGTCAATTAAGTAAAATCTAGTGTACAGTAAAGTTTACTCTAGATGAATTGGATGCATTTATTTTTAAACATTCTTTAACTGGGATTCACAAATGCGGACTGTGAAATACTTACCCATCATATTTGTAGTAGCGTGTTGCTCCTGTTTGGTCAAATTCACGGTTTGAGTCTTTTCCTCATCTATTTTGAGCACATGCAGAGATGTTGAACCTTTTCTTTTCTTCTGGGGTTGGTTTGGATTTTTGGGTAGAAAAAAGAATGGTATGGAACAGATAATGGATAACAGTCCAGACACAAGGAAGTTCAGCCACCAGGCGCCAACCCAACGAGAATCCTTAGGAGTTATTCTGATAGTGCCTGGAATAATTGGAACAGGTCAGTGAAAAATCAGTTTGAAATTGGGCAGTATCAATGATCGCTGTCTTCCGGACTGTGTTGAAGCTGTGTTTCATCAACACTACAATGTGATTTTCTCCTTTCCATAGTTTGAGAACTTAGAAGTTGGGATGAGTCTACCATTTGATGACATCTTATAACCTCTGTTGTCCAGGAATCAGTCAAGGTACTATTGTCACAGCCTTCCCTGCCCAACTCATCAAGACGTATGTTTATCTGATGACAAACTGGAGAACTGTCAACACTGGACATTCAAGCCCTCCACAACATTTGAAAGGGAAGGCAGGAAGAGGAATATCCATTGTCAACTGAAAACATCTGTTAGTACCATCTGCTGAGCTGAAGAAAGCACCAGTGGTGAAACTTAAAGTGATTTTCAAGGAATAGAAGGGATTCATTTCATCCCCAGGTTCTGCATCTGCCACACAGAAGGCCACAACTGGTCAAGTGTAGAGAATAGGAGACTGCAGTGTATGCGTCCCTGGATAAGACTCCTATAGTAAACCTCACCCACCTTGTAAGAGCCAGGGGTGGTGGATGACCACAAGGAAACAGAGGCTTTCAGGTTTCTGGGAACTTGCTCATATGAACTTACAGCAATGTTGACAGTATGCACAAGACCCATGAAAATTCAATCAGACAAAAACTCAGCACAGAACTGGGGAAATAGGCCCTAACCTTAGCCAAAGAACTATTGGCAGCTGATCACTTCTGGGTGAGGGAGAGCTGATTTTCTTTAAGGGAGTGACTCTAGATAGGCTGACTAGACTCCAGTGGATAAACTCACACCAAGAGACATCTGGGTGAACAAACTTGGTTTGATAGGTCTTGACACACATGAAAAACTGCATGAAATCCTGTGGGTAGGCTATGGGGGATGCAGATGGGGGGGTCTAAATATGATAAAGATGTTTTGTATGAAATCCACAAAAATTCAGTAAAAATATACATTGGAAAAAATCTTCTTAAGAACTTAGAAGATGCTCTTAGACTTATTCTGCATATCAGGCATTACACTTAGATCAAGACACAAGAAAACTTTTTTTTTTTTTTTTTTTTGGTCTTCTTGAGACAGGATCTCCCTTTAGCCCCAGTTGGCCTGGAACTCGCTATATAGATCAGGTTGACCTCAAACTCACGGATATCCATCTGCCTCTGCCTCCCAAGTGCTGGGATTAAAGGCATGCACCACCACACCCAGCCAAGACACAAGACCACTCTTGATTGAGCTGTGATTTAATTTTTGTTGTATAGTTGCTATATACAAAATTCTAGGAAAATTCACTTGCATTTTTCTACACTAACAACAAACTATCTGGAAATAACACTATGAAAAAAATTTCACTTATCTTTCCACCAAAAAAGCAAAGCATTTAGGAATAAAGTTAACTAAGGTCGCAGAAAAAAAAACCCATAAAATTTAAATTTGTCGGACTCCAGAGAACATTTGCTGATCTTTCAGAAGACCTGGGTTCCGTTTCAGCACCCACATTGTGGCTCACAACCATCTGTAACTCCCATTCCAGGGGAATCCAACACCCTTTTCTGGGGTCCTTGGACAACCACTCGCATATGCACATACACACACAGAGACACATACACATTTGTGATGGCTAATCCTGGGTGTCAGCTTGACTGGATCTGGGATTAACTGAAATGGAAGAGATCTTCTTGATTGGATCCTCTGAAGCTGGAAGGTACACCCTAAATGTGGGTGTTACCTTCTGATGGCAGCCCATATAAAAGGCCATGGCAGAGGAGAACACCTGGCTTCTTGCTGCTTGCCTTCTCTCTCGCTGGTGAGTTTGTCTTGCTGCTGTAGACTGAAGACTAGCTGATCTTTTGGAATTCATCAGACTTTTAGTCCCAGATTGGGACTACTGAGACATCCAGCCTTGTGGACTGAGAGACTACAGATTCTCAGCCTCTCCAGTGTGGTGCAGCCATTGTTGGACTACTCGGACTCTATCCTGTGAGCTAAGCTGATAATCTATATCTATCTATCTATCTATCTATCTATCTATCTATCTATCTATCTATCTATCTATATTCATTCTACCAGTTCTGTTTCTTTAGAGAATCCTGATATACACACATAAAATAAAGTAAATATTTTAAAAAAGTGCTAAGACTTCCAAATATTGATGAAAGTGAAGCCATAATTAGACATCCCACGTGTATAGACTTAAAACTTAATAACATTAAATGTCCATAGTCCAAATTTATTTACAAATTTAATGCAATCTCTATTAAAATCTGATGGTATTTTTACAATAAAATGAAAAATTATAAAGCTTATATGATGCCACAGAGAACCTCATATAGTCAGAAATAGTCTTGAGGGGCTTGGAAAGATGGCTCAGTGTTTAAGAGCACTGGTTGCTTTTCTAGAGGACTTGAGTTCAGTATCCAACACCCACATGGAGGGGGATGATCTTCCATAACTCCAGTTCCAAGGGATCTGACTCCCTCTTCTGGCTTCCATGGGTACCAGGCACATATGTAGTACACTTACATACATGCAGGCAAAACACATAAAAATAAAGAAAATGTTTTTAAAAATATCTTGAGAGAGATCAAAACTGGAGTTCCCATATTTTCTGATTTCAAAACATATTTCAAGACCATTATAATCAACAAAAGATGGAACTCTCATCAAGAAGTATCTACTAAGAGTACAGAATATAAAGTCCCTTGTAAATGTAAAAACATAAGTAAGCACTTGACCTTGAACAGGGGCCACAAATCTATCATGGTCAAACAGATTTGGGGTTTAGACTGTTTTGCATATCATATTTCGATGTGATTTATCTAATCATATTTCTTCTATAATCAATCATGCAGGCAGGCTTTAGGAAACATTGGTGAAATTATTGGTCTATCTACATGCTAAACTCTTACCAAACATTTTATCAGGAACATCATAAGAATAAACAGTTCTGATCTAACTAATCATGGCCTGCCAAAGTAGTTCCTTTGTTTTATACCCTGTCTTAAAAAGAAGAAATTTTTACCTGAAAATCTGGATTTCTTGAAAACCAAACAAAAGATTTTGTCTACAGTGGGCCCAAATTTCTTCAAAGGCCAGTTGTAAGTGGCCCATATGCTTTTGGGTACGTGAAAGAGTCAGTTTGCCATTACCAATTCTTTCCAGTCTGCCCACCACACCCTAACTCCTGTAACTGGCCCTGAATCTCTTTGCTCATGGTATTCTTTTGGTTTCTTTAGGCATTGGCACTTGTCAGTGTACATGTTATAATAATTTTTTTTCACACATGATTGAATAAGGGAAGATGCAAGAAAATCCTAACATTTGGTCATAGCCAGCAAATTACCAAGAACTCTAGCATACTATGAGCAATTATTTTTAAATGTAGCAGTGCATTTTCAAAACCACCACCCTAAAGATCTTCACCAGCTATGTCTATAATCAGTATTGGAAATAGTGATGAACTTCAAAGTGAATGGAGAGAAAGAAGAGAATGAACCCACACTACCCATGTCATATGTCTTGATAGAAAGTCCACAGGTGGCTTGCTTTAGCATTGTGTTGAAAACACTTGGAAGCTTGGTCTACTGGGATGGTAACTCTATTTTGGAAATAAATCCTTTGATGTGCTTAAGAGTCCCACTGAGATAGGAAATCAGATTTGTTTATCCACAAACACCAATCATTCAGATATGTTAAAACAGATATCATTCTGTGATGATCTAAAAGAGAGTGCAGATGAGTGTCATGTGCTTGGTGGTTAACAGGGACATTTAACTTCCAGCCAACAGTGAGCCAGTGAAATAGGCTTCACATTTTGGATGAGACTGTATGAACAATGTTAACAGGAAGGGAACAGAACTCTGACAAAATAGATGTAGGAAAGTGTGACACTAGAGGACTTTCTAAGAGTTTCACAAGTAGTAGGCATGGTTACCACAAAAAGCACCTGCGAGAGAAGAATGAGAAAGAAAAAAAGTAAAATCCTAAAGATAAAAAATATGGCAAAAAAACCATGTGTCTAGCTCTGAAGAGCTTGGCTCCTTTCTGTATGTAGTCTGGTGTGAAGTCAGTGAAGGATGTTACACAGGGGATGCTATGGATCAGATTTGTTTAGGGAGATTTTTCTGGACACACAGGCCAAGAAAGTGACAAAGAGGCTATAGGAAACAAAGTGAGTTTTAGCGTGCAATTATGAGCCCATATTTTGCCATCTTGAGTGTAGGTGATTATTAAGCATTTGAAAAAAGAAAAAGAAAGATGAGCAAGTACTAAAAAAATCAAATAAAATAGAAAGCATCCACTAAAAATAAATTAGGTAGAAACTAACTATGTTCATGAGCCAGAGAAACCAGATTATAATTAAGAACTAGAGAGTGGAGAATTGAGGCATCTACCTAATTCAGGTTATTTTTTTTTAAGGTACTTGACGGTGAAGAAAAATAGAAAAAAAGAAAACCAGCTACAAGTTGTTTAAGGATATAAAAATCATAAATGTGGGGTTGGAGAGGTGGCTTAGCAATTAAGAGCACCCACTGCTCTTGAAGAGGACCCAGGTTAAATTCCCAGCACTCACATGGCCGCTAACAACCATCCATAACTCCAGTTCCAGGGGAATCCAGTGCCCTCTTCTGACTCTGCAGGCACTGCATGACTTGGGTGCACTTGCATACATGTAGGCAATACACTCAGACACATAAAAATAATAAAGTATTTAAAAATCATAAATGTGCAAAAAGACTACAAAGTATGGAGAGCATTTTCTGAAGATAAAGAGAGACGTACGGGGAGCCATCAGGCAAGGGATGATGGAACTAGGTTTTAGAAGATGCGGGAAGAAGGAGTCTAACCCCCAGGATGGACGTATTAATGAAGATGAACATATTCTTCACTGGGTCAGGGGAGAAAAGTTGATAGGCATGATACAGATACATTTGTTAGAAGGAAGGTTGGAGTTGAGGAGTTTCTACACTGTGGCCTCTACTCCTCAGAATTATGAAACTTGCTCTGTGAATGAAGAGAAATGTACAGATGTCATGTGCCTTCATTCACTTGTATCCTCTGCCAGGACCTATAAAGGTGATCAGAACTAAAGTATATGATTGGAAATGCTCAAACTCCTCCATCTAGACACCAACCCAACAGCCCCACAGCATCTTCCGAAACATCCAGCTATAAATCTTGCATTTCAAAATGTAAACCAACAGCTAAAACATGTCATTGATTTGACTGTGTGATCAGTTTTGTAACAGGAACACATCAAATTGTTTTTGGAGCTGGTAATCTCAAATCAGATTGTTAAAAACTGCCCATTTTATGACTTGAAGAAGCATGGCATCGAAATATGAAGTTTGTTTTATCACGGATGCGAATACATTTTCTCCACTTGTGATTTCAAAAAAAAAATACTAAGCGAAGGGCTATGGAAAGAGTTAAAATGGTAATTTGGAGGAATAGGGTCAGGTATTTGAAGGACACTCTTGTTCTCTTGCTGTGATCGTACTTACTCAGGTCTACATATCCAATGTCCACATACATTTGAGCAAAGACAGATGACATCATAAAGCCAAGGATGGGACCGATCATTGCTACTGTATTCAAAGTACCTGCAAACATTACAAGAACACATAGTTCTCATACAACAGGTTACAAAAGGGAACATTGCACGGTGTATTTCTACAAATAATTTTTTTCCTAGTAAAAGAACTAACTCAGGAACTCCAGTACTTGAAGGTTAGACCCAGAGAATGTAAGCATTCAAATTAATATTTTTCTGTACATTACCTATGTATATCGAAGAGTGTCCTTTTGCAAAATCATCAATATAAGAAATTCCCAGTGGCATTATAGGGGTTTCCCCTATTCCACGAAGCATGTTACCCATCAGGACATAAATCCATGTATATGACTTGGATTCCTTTCCACAGCCTGCGTAAGTAACAGAGTGTTTTGTTTTCAACATTTATTACAGTGTTGCTACGATGAGGAACTCAACTAATTTGGACAATTAATTATTCCTGGGATGTTGTAGAGCTTGTTTTTTTTTTTTCTTTTTTTCTTTCTTTCTTCTACGTTTTCTAATTTTAAGTGATCCTACTCAATTTTCAAAGTTAGGAAAAAAAACAGATAAACACAAAGAACACAGAGAAAGCAAAAATTATCTGAAATCTCTCTATAAAAATAAAATAATTTAGTGTTTTGGTGTATTTCGTACTTTTGGATTACATAAAATGTGCTTAAAAGTTCCTACGCATATGTTACAGTTAAATTTCCAGTTTGTATATAACTTGCCTTTACAATTAACTCTGTGCTAGGGCAATTTCCCTATTTGATTTTTCTTTGCTATCTTTCAGGTCAGGATTCTAATCACTGCTAGTGTTGTGAGGAATAACAGTTTCAGAATCTAGCCAATCATATTTTTAATCACAACATATTCCAATTTTTATTTCCATTACACAGAGATGCTTGGCTACAGTTGTAAATTACTCTTCCTGCAAGTTGCTGACTATAAGATTAATAGGTAATAGCTGAATGACAATTAAGTACATAAATATTACTTTTCTTCAATATATATTTAAAACTAACTTCCAGAAACAGTTACAAATTTATAAACCTCCAACAATACTAAAATACTAAGAATTAGTATTTTTATACTAAATTAAATACTAAAAATCTTTACTTCATCTCATTTCTTTTACTTTTAATCTTTCTGTATCTAATATGATAGATTGAAGAATCATATCATAAGTTATAATGATAATTTATGAGTTTTATTAGAATAGTTTAAAAATCTTAAATCCAAGTAATTATTTTCTATTTTTCATGAAGTAACATTCCCCTATTTACAAAGTTAGGTGAGTTCTTGCTGCTTTTTAGCTTGCTTGATTTGTTTGTTTATTGAGACGGGGTCTTACTGCGTGGTTAAGGTTGGCTTTCACAATCCTTTACTTCCAACCTCCCATGTACTGGAATTACAGACATGTGCTCTCATACAGCCAGTTCCTGAAGCTTTGTTCTTTGCCAACTTTGTACTGAAATAATCCTCTTAATCACTTCTTGTTGACTTACCAACTTCCCATCTACTTCTGAAAGTCATTAATGTGTATGTTAGTATTGTGAGTGTGTCTATATGTCAAGGTCAAATAATTTTCTTATTTGCATTTAATCAAATTTTCATAATATACTTTACAGAATTTTTTATAGATGTAGTATATTCATCAATTTTAGATTATTTTTCACGGCCACTGTTAATTCTTACCTTTTCCCAGTATCTCAGGTGATGTTTCAGTGAATGACGAAGTTTGATTAACTGAGCAGGTTAATGTTGAATTGTCCAGTGGACTAATGTCCATTTCTGCAGAGTACCTATAACTATAACAACATCAATAGACTTGAAGTTTTCCGTATCTACTGAATATTTGTGCTTTCCTCAGAAACCAATTTCCCCTTAATTCTCTTCTGTTCTCTGAATTGCAAGACTCCTCTGACAATTTTCCAGTCAACATTTTAGGAGCAATATTATGTAATGATATAACCAGAAGGTCCATTGAGTAAGGTCATTCAATGTCATTTAGGCCAGGTAAGTCATTACTTTGATGCCCTCCTAGGACAGACTAACTCTGGTTAATAGGAAAAAAATCTCAACTTACCCTTTTGTTTTGTAAACTGCTATGTGTATGTGATCATCCTTTTGAGTTATCTTTAAAGATGATCACAGTATAAACTTTCTGGTAAGTTGTGATGATGTTTAATAAACTCAAGAACAGTGCTTTCAAAACTGATCTATAATGCATGCTAATTCATCTGCCTTTTCTATCAACCCATCTGATTTTCTTTCATGGATACACGTGCACACACATACTAATGTCCAACTCTTCAAAACTTAAATTCCGATTCACTTAAACTTGACAGTGGAGAACTTAGTAGAAACAAAGGAGGCAGAAGGCCAACTGCTGCTACTCAGGAAACAATAATATATCCTGTTGCTCCAAGAGTAACCACAAGGCATTCTGCTCCATTTTAAAACTGGAAATAAAACAATAGCTTCTATACTAAGGGAATTTCATCCTTTCTTAGATATGATATGCTAATATACATGTAAGCCCACTACACAAGGTCCTGAATTGTCAAAGGAAAAGGACTTCATCAGCTTTACTTGAAGGTTGGGAATGAGGTGGATTTGAGATATTGCTGTGGATATGACATGTGAGATGAAGCCTAGTGGTGGATAGAAGTTTAACAGATGGACCCAGGAGGATAGCATTCAAAGCTGTGGAACCAGCACATGTAAAGGTAAAAGATACTCATGTTTGGAGAATTCAGCTTTAACACATGGTGATAAACTGTGAGGGGTGGAAGGTGAGGCAATGATGCATGAATGAGCTGGATATTAACCCACAGGCAAGGCCCTTTAACTAACGGCTATGACTAATAATAAAAATGAATTTTACATCAACATATAGACATACTTACAAATATTTGGATGGCTTATATGAAGGTTTCATGGAACCTTCCATTTATGTTGTGTATTACTGAAGTCTATTCTATAATGCATGGTGGTCTGTCTCCATAACCTGGAGGAGTTTACTGGTCCACTGATAGTCCATGTTCTAAAGTCTGAAAAGCTACTCTAGAACACTGCCAATTTAAAGCAGTATTGGACTAGTGGGATCTGTGTTTAATTTTATCTCTCATCTATCTATCCATCCATCCATCTATTTCTTGAAATATCACCATGGACTTACTGTGTTATCAAAAGGAGGAGGAGGAGGGGGAGGAGGGGGAAGAAGGAAAGAAAGGGAGGAGGAAGATGAAAAGGAGGAGGAAGGGAAGGAGAAAGAGGAGGGGGATGAGGAGGGGAGAGGAGGAAGAGGAATAGGACATGAAGGTAGGAGGGAGAGATGTAGGAAGAGACATGGGGGAGTTGGAAAAGGACATGGGGGTGTATATTGATTATATTTCATTATAAATATATGACACTCTTAGAGTTAAATTTTTTTTTCCTATTATGTGTGTGAGTGTATTGTCTGCCTGTATATAAGTGCAAAGCCTGTAGAGACCAGAAGAGGGCATTGGATCCCCTGGAACTGGAGTTACAGATGGCTGTTAGCTACCATGTGGGTGCTGGGAACTACACTTGGGTCATCTTGCAGCCAGTGCTCTTAACTGCTGAGCCGTCTCTTCAGCCCCTTTCAAAGGATCCTTTTAAAGGGAGATAAATGAAAGTCTGTTACTAACTTATGAGAAGGGCACAGACAGTTCAGTACTTACTATCCCATGAAGAAATGCGGCAAAGCAGTTAAAATACTTCCAACTCCCATAATGAAACAACCGATTCCAATGAGCTTGGGTCTGTGTAGCTTAGATCCAAAGTAACTCACAAATACAATAACAAACAAATTTCCTATGCAGAAACAAAATCATATCAATTTGATTCACTACAATAAATATAGACTGAGTCTAATTTTGTGTCTGGTAGAATTGAAGTCCCCAGACTGGAGAAAAATAAAACCCACACCATGCCATGTGGCACTTTCTCAAGTTTGATTGACAAGGTGAGACTCACCTGCATTAAACCAAACACTGAAAATTGTCCAGGGTTAATAATATACAGAATCATTTTGTTTTGTTTAGTTTATTTTTCATATTTTAAAATTGTGTGTGTGTGTGTGTGTGTGTGTGTGTGTGTGTGTGCGTGCGTGCACCTTGTACGGGCGTATGTGCACTTAGGTGAAGGTACTTGCAGAGGTCAGAAGAGGACATCCGATCTGGAGCTGCAGTTACAGATGATTATGAGCTACCCTACATGGGTGCTGCAAACCAAACGTGTTCTCTGCAAGAGCAGCAGGCGCTCTTAACCACTGTGACAGCTCTCCTGTCCGCTTTGTTTTGTTTTTTAATTATCCACTGTTTTTCTTGGAGCCAGTCTCACTGGTTACCAGTGTCACTTTAAACCCCCAGATTTCATCATGTCCCTTCTTATTTGTATCAAAACTCACACCAAATAATGAGTTCTGGGTTGCAAATGAAGATTTGTTTTTTTGCACTGGTCTATAGAAAATGTTCTGTAAACAAAGACATTGGATTATTTGGCGACTTTATTTTATTTTTATAAATTTATTTTTATTTTATGTTTGTTTTGCCTGCATGCAATGCCCTCGGAGACCAGAAGAGGGCATTGGATCCTCATGAACTGGAGTCCTGGACAGTTGTTAACTGCCATGTGGGTGCTGAGAACTGAACCCGGGGCCTCTGCAAGAGCAGCCAGTGCTCTTAACCACTGAACTGTCTCTCCAGCCCTCATTGTTCAGCAGTTAGTGAAGCAGATTTTATATTTGAAGAATTTGAAGTCGACTAGATTTTATTAAAATGAAAATTGGCAGAGAGATATCTTCCTAACCTGAGAGAAAAGCCTTAATTAATGCATTTGTTCATTCATTTCTGTCTGGCATTATTTAGGATCCTAATATGAACCTGTCATGGTATTTACAGCCAGAACTATTATAAAAATAAATCATGTTATGTACTAGTGGTAAAAACATACGAGTAATGAAAATAGATGGATGGGCAGAGGGATTGCTAGAATTCAGATAAGCAACTTCAATGAATTAAGGGCATCAGGAAAACTTTCATGAGTAAAGACCATTTGAAGTGTAATGTTGATTATAAATGATCCAGCTTAAAATGTGAAACAGAATTCTAAGTGGAGAAAGTCACCATCAATTTTAACTCACCTGGAGTTATAGGTATGACAACGAATGGAGAGTAACCAAGATTTGGCAAATATTTGGTAGAGAAAGATGTGACACAAAAATATTAAAATGAACTAGCAGAAAAGAGATGAAGCAACAATTAAGTAAGAAATAAATTAGAAGGAGAGAGTTTGGAAAAATCTAGTTAATATTTTTACAGGTATAAGAGCATGTTGCTTTTACAAAATAAGGACCAGCAGTTGAAAAAGGATAGAACAGTAAAGTATTGTAACCCAGAACAGAAAAATACAAAAATTTTAAATTTATATGGTAAGACAGAAAACAGCAGTAGATGTAAAGCAGATTGGAGAAGGTTGCCACAGAGTCACCAAAGGGCAAGACCCCCGGGTGCTGGTACCAGAGTATTCAAATCTTGATGCCACCTGTCCAGGGCTCAAGCTCTGAGCACCAAGCATGTAAACTAAGCACCTAGAGCTATTAGAACATAGGTATTTTAAGATTTACTGTGTTAATGTGGATATGTGCACTGAATATGCCCATGGAGGCCAGAAGAGGGTGTTGGGTACCGTGGAGCTGGAGTTAAAGTCGCTTGTGAGATGCCCACCATGGGTGCTGGGAATGGAACTTGGGTCCTCTGGAAAAGCAGCATGTGCTCTTAACTGCAAAGCCAACCTTCCAGCCCCATGAAGAGGTTTTTGAGCATGAAGCAATATTTCTTTAAATCTTAGGGCCTAGAGTTTTAAGTGTCTTGGTCAGTAAGCCTAACCTAGAAGGCTCTGGCTCTCGGGAGTTCTGGGCTGCCATCCTCAGGGTATACCTTGTCTATTCACAATTTCTACCTGGGCAGAGTCAAAGAGGTCTCAGCCAACCATTTCTGACAACATGAATATGATAGTAAAGTAAACACACTTCCAACCAGCAGGAACTCAAAAACTACGTTGCACATTCAGTTCAACCTGGGAAATAACTACTTGTTAAAGATCTAATAAAAGAGAAGATAAAGACAGATTAAAGACTCCAGTAAGCAAAGGGACATACTCTGAATGAATGTTGAAAACACTGTAATACTAAAATTCTAGCTGCTTTCACCAAGACAGGGAACTAGAGGGCCAGAGAAACTGCTCAGGGGTTAAGAACACTTGCTGCTCTTCCAGAGGACCTGAATTTGGTTCCCAGAAACTATATCTCACAGCTCACAACAGCCTGCATCTCCAGCTCCAGGGGATCTGATGTATTCTTCTGACCTCCATGGACACCTGCACACACATACACATGCATACACACAGATACACACACATGTTAAAAAAATAAGACAGGGAAGTAAAAGATTGAAAGATACATAAGGTATCATAATAGCCTCAGAATCACAAAAGTTCAGTATTAAAGAGCAATGATAGATTGGTCTTCCTTCATGTAATTACATCTTTATATTTTATATATATATTTTTTTATTTCATGTGTATGAGTGTATTGCCTGCATGTATGTGAGTGCACCCGTGTTGTTCAATGCTGCAGAGGTCAAAAGAGGTCTTTGGATTCTCCTGGAACTGGAGTTAAGGATGGTCGGTAGCCACCATGTGGATGCTGGGAATCGAACCCAGGTCATCTGCAAGAGCAGTCAGTGCTCTTAACTGCTGAGCCATCTCTCCATCCCCTCATGTAATTACTTTTAAAATACTGAATTAAATATCCCCTGAGTAGGGTCTGGAGAGATTGCTTAATGGTTAATGGCATTGGTTTGATTCCCAGAACCCACATGGCGGCAAGCAACCATCCTTAACTCCAGTTCCAGGGGCATCCAATGCCCTCTTATGACCTCTGCAGCATTGCACGACATGGGTGCACTCACACACATGCAGGCAATACATTCATACACACACACACACACACACACACACACACACACACACACACAATATAATAAAACGTTTAAATAAAAATAAAATAAACAGCAAACTTGTAGGAAATATTTGAAATCTACTAAGAGCTATAAAGAGCAGAAGTGATAAACTACCAATTCACAAAAGAAGAATCGTGTTTAGTAATTCCATAGAGTTTTGCTATTGTAGAAGAAAACATTAAACTCAGAATGAAGACGCAAAAGTAGTACCTTCCATGTTGTGAAACAAAAATACTTTCAACCTCAGAGAGTAAAAATCTAACATAGAGAGTTCCAAAGCTCTTCTTTGCTGTTTGAATCATAGGAATTACAATTCCCTCAACTTCTCTTCACATCCAGGGTACCTGGAGCGGGGGAAGGGGGAGTTTCACTCACAAGTGTTAGTTCGGAAGTGATGGGTCTGTGTGAAGTCAGTGTTTCAAACTCCTGTTGACATAGCGGGCTGGTGGGTATACCTTCTGTGTCTTTCAGTCTTTCAGTTTCCTGACTTAGTTTTTAAATGTGTATGTATATGTATCTATTATATACACATAAGATTTATATATTATATATGTATAATATTATATATATGTATATATATATGGATGTACTCAGAATATGTCAGATCCCCTGGAGCGGGAGTTACAGGCAGTTGTGAGCTCTCGGATGTGAGTGCCTGTAACCAAACTCAGGTCCTCTGGAAGATATTTAGCAGTACTATTGGTCTTTACTCTTATGTACCGGTAGCACTTCTTTCCCAAGATATGACAACAGAAATGTCTCCAAATATTGCTAAATTGTCCGTGAAGGAGAGACTTACTCCTGGTGGAGAGCCACAGCTGTAGAGCATGTCTGAAGAGTGTTTAACTCTGCAAGTCTGTTTAATAAAATAGAAATAAACGTTACCAATTTCAAATCCTCCGTCGATCAAACCAGCAACAGAAGACGGTATGTCAAATCTCCTTTCTATTTGAGTGATGGAACTTTTCATTATGACTCCACCTAATGTCTTACAAATACAGCTGAATGAAAGGGCTACCATAAACATCTGTGAAAATCAGAAAGAAAGAAGGAAAATGGTTGATCAAAGGAGAACATGATATTTATATGGACATAGAAATAAAATAGATTTTCTTCTTTACTTAAAACACTATTTTTAGTATAGAAAGCCTGTCTATATTTCCTCTAGAGCTGGCGTTTCTTAGCTCCTTTAATGTCATCACTATAGATGAAGTATCACAGTCTAACTTGGTTATTATTACAGCAGTAACATTAATATTTTTGGATCATAATCTGATTTATAAGAGGCTAGATAATCTCATTTGGTCATCATTTTAAGCTATTCTTTGCTTCAAGTGGACAGCAGGGGCCAATTGCAGGGAGTGGCCAGATATTTTCAAATATATTGTTTGCAGGAAGCGACCTGAAAATGGAAATTCGAGGAGTTCAATGGAGGCTCTACAAAGAGCACAATGACTGATGTTCACTCTAAGGGCGGTGGCTAGCAATACATTAATTTTCATTTTATTTGTAGCATTTTAAACATTTTAATTTGCTGGTGTATCTTTTCCACCCCATATCCACATTCATAAGTAAGTCCTTTTTACTCCATTATTAAAATGTGGCCATACTATGGAATGTGAATTTGTGTCTCCACAAATCCATATGTTGAAACCCTAATCACACGTTGTGATGTGTGGAACTGGGGCTTGGGGCTCTCGAAGGTTGAGCCTCATCGTGGAATGAGCACCCTAATGACAAGAGGAAGGATGGCTAGCCCTACCACTCTCTGTCAATAGGAGGATCATCACCTACACATCCAGAAGACTACTCTCACCAGCACCCAACTCTGCCAGGAACTTGATTCCAAACTTTCAGCCTCCAGAAATGGGAGAAACAAATTTCTGTTGTTTATGTTGCCCAGTCTGCACAGATGCCCAAGAGAACATGAACTTTAGAAGGAGGTGGGATATGTGTGCAAAGTATTGAAAGGCAAAAAGTAAATAAATAAACTTACCATCTAAAAATACTGCAGTCAACAAAACTATCCTTCAAAAAATCAAGGAGAAATCAATCACAAAATGTGTGGAAGCTTAGGTTCTCAGATTTGCCCAGCAAGAGAGGCTGGAGGGAAAATGGCAAGTAGCGACAGGTAGATGATAAACATAAAGAAATAATAAAGTGTACAAATCCCCAGGTAAAGACAAAGGTGTCAACATAACACACTGTATTATTAAAATATAGGCAAGTCAATCACTTACCAACCTGGCATAATTTTTAAGGGCCTAAAAAACAATTATAACATAAATATTTCAAAAGGTATGCAAAAATTGATCATTTGTGTCAATAACATAACAGAAGGACAACAGGCATATAAAAGGCAGAGCTTTCACACATGATTGAGCTTATTATCATATTAAACTAATTTTCATATAATTGCAATTCTAACAACAAAGAAGGTACCTAATGTACACAAAGGGAAAAGATAAAGAAATAAAAACCTGTCATTACAAAAACCTGTGAATCCAAAGAAAGAGGAAAATACTGGAAAAGTGAAGAAAAAAAATCTGCATCACAGAAAATTAATTATCAAAGTAGCAACAATAAGCCCTTTCTCATCAGTAACTACTTTAAAAACAAAGAAATTAAGCATACCGAGGACACGCATAGACTGGTCGAAAGGATAAAAATCAAATGCAACTACAAGGGAGCGATTGCATTACTGTATCCAAAGACAGGAGTAGTAATCCCCTTTGAGTGTTAACATGGAATTATTTCCGTAGATACCTGATGATAATTATTAAGTAGGCTGCAATATTTTCTAAAGCCTATTTGGATCACCTTAGACTTTCTTCATGATCAAGAGACAGACAGATGGGTGGGGGAGGAGAGATTTGCTTTATCCATAAAGACAGACATAAGATAGAAAAGAAAGATTTGGAAAAGAGTCTCTATTCAAACAAGAACCTAGAGAGAGCAGAGCGAGCCATGCACCCAACAAAACAGACCCTAAACAAAGCTTGTCTTAAGAGGCAAAACATAAATAAAACAAGGTCAGTGTACTAGGAAGTTACAATAATTATAAATATGTATGCACTTAACTTTAGAACACCCAAGTACACAAAGCAACATGGGGAGAAATAAATAGCAAGAGTAGAACTCTTCAGCATCCCGGTCTCTGCTGTGGAGAGATCAAACAGATGTAAAATCAACTAAGATACAGAAGAGTTCCAAACTAGAGACCAATCAGACCCAGCAGAGAACTGGGAATGCTTCGTTGAATATCAGCAGACGACATAATCTTCTCAAGCAAAAACAAAACATTACCCCAAATAAAGCACAATAGGCCACAAAACATGATCTAACAATGTGTGTGTGCATGTGTGTGTGCATGCATGTGCGTTTGTGTGTGTACCTGTATGTGTGTTTATATGTGAATGTATGTATGTGTGTGTTTGTGTGTGTGTGTACAGGTGTGCGTATATGTGCATATCTGTGTATATGTGTGGATGTATGTGTCTGTGCGTTTCTGTGTGTATGTGTATAGGCCAGGGGACAGCTTTGGGTATTGTTTTTCAAGTGCTGTCCACTTTTTGGTTTGAGACTGTCTTTCACTGGTCTGACCTCATCACGGAGGCTTGGCTGGTTGGCAAGAGGGCCCCAGGAAGCCTCCTGTCTCCACCTCCCCAGTGCTGGGATTACAGTGCATGCTGCCACACCTTTCACCTTTCTCTTCTATTTACATGCGTTCTGGGAATTGAACACAGGTGCTCATGCTTGCAAGGCAAGCACTTTACCAATGGAGCTATGTCTCCAGCCAACAACAGTTATAACAATAAGAAGTAACAATTATCTTTATTACTGATAGAATGAAACTAGATGGCAGGATAACAGGAGGAAAGTGCTCAGATGAGGGACTCATGCACTCCAAAGCAACCAACGAATTAAGAAGAAAATTTAAAGCAATGTAGAAAATACCTGGGGATAAATGGAATTAAAAACACAATGTTTAAAACTAATTGGGACAGGGGCTGGAATGATGGTTCAATGATTAAGAGTGCTGGCTGCTCTTGCAGAGGATCCAGGTTCAGTTCCCAGTGCCAACATGGTGGATAACAACCATCTGTAACTGGGGCTGGAGAGACGGGCCAGCAGTTAAGAGCACTGACTGCTCTTACAGAGGGCTTGGGTTTGATTCTCAGCACCCACATGGTGGCTATGAACCATCCTTAACTCCAGTTCCAGGGGAATCCAAAGCCCTCTTCTGACCTCTGTGGCATTTCATGACACGGGTGCACTCACATACGTGGGGCAATACACTCATAAGTATAAAATAAAAATAATAAATAAAATAGTTTTAAAAAACCAACCATCTGTAACTCTAGTTCCAGGGGATTCAATATCCTCCTCTGGCCTCCACAAGCATTGCATGCATGGGTGCATTTATGTATATGCAGGCCAAACCCTCATATACATAAACTAAAAGTAAATAAGTAATAAAAAATAAATGGAACACAGTGAATACAATGCATAAAGGCACGTTCATCATGTTTGGTGTTTATCACTAAACAGCAGCCAGATCTCAAATAATCAATCTAATTTTGCTTCTGAGGGGACTAGGAAAAGAAGAATAAACCAAACCCAAAGCTATGAAAGAAGAGGATGTTGCAGTACAGAGGAAATTGGAAATGAAAATGAGACATTATGATGGATACTTCAGAAATACAGACGTATTGGGACTATTGTGAAGAATTAGATGCCAGAAATAGGAATAGAATCCTAGAGGCATGTAATCTACCAAAATTGAACCATGAATCAACAGAATATTGAACACCCACGTAGCTAGTGAAGACAGTGGAGTGGTGTAATATCTCCACCCACCCCCGGAACATTAAAGTGGTTAAGGAGAGGCCTAGAGATTTTCACTTAAACAGTGGAGAGAGTGCCTCCAGGGCAAGACCACACCCAGCTAAGCCTTCAGCTAGTGAAAGGAAACTGTTTCAAGGGCCACTGAAGAGAACAGCTTCTAAAATGGATCAAGCAGGCTGGGGTCCATCCCAAACTTGCAGTCAAACTTGGCAGTGTTGTTCACCCAGTGCTGGCTTTAGAGGCATGAAAGATGCAAGAGTGAAGGGGTCATTGGTCCTTCCTCCGCAGCTTCAGAGAGCCACGGAGGCCAGGCGGCGTGCATACAGGAGGCACTGCTAGGCCACTAAGTGAAGCTGTAAAGGTGAATTCTAGTTGGCAGTGGAGACCCCAAGAAGACATTCATGATGGCAGAGCTGTGAGGTATATGCCAAAAAAGCTGCATAGAGGGAGCGGTACCAGCCCAAGAGAGAGCTCTGTTTCAAACAGCAAAGCTAGAGAGGCTGAGCCATCTAAGTCCCTTGGAAGTAAAGTCCCAGAGGTTGGACCTGGAGCTACTGGATTTGGTGTTTGCCCTGCTGGTTTTTTATCTTGTTTCGGTCCAGTATTTCCTCACTATGCCTCCATTCCTTCCTTTTGGAATGGCAATGTGTATTCAATTCCACTGTATGTTTGTCTTTTGATTTCACAGGGGTTTACAGTTAAGCAATTGCCCTGAGTCTCAGAGGAGACTTTGAACTATGGATTTTTGAGTAATACCGAGACTGGTAAAGACTATGGGGAAGTTTAAAGTTGGACTAAATGCATTGTGCATTTTACATGGTCATGAGCCTATGGGGGCCAGGGAGTGGAATGTAGTGGTTTGAATGAGAAGGTCCCCCATAGGCTCCAAGTATTTAGGCATTTTGTCCCCAGTTGGTGGCACTGTTTTGGAGGTCTTAGAAAGTGTGGCCATGTTGGAGGAAGCACATCACTGGGGGAGGGCTTAGACAGTTCTTAAGCGTTGCTGGATCTTGAGTCACTATCTTGCTTCTTGTGCCTGCTTGAAAATGTGAGCACCTAGCTTCTGCTCCTCCTCCAGTCACTTCTGCTTCCATGATGGACTCCTGCCCCTTTGGAACCCTAAGCTAAATAAACTCCTCCTTTTATAAGTTCCCCTGGTCATGGTGTTTCTATCACAGC